AAAGCTTTGTTTTGTTGCTACCCCCTCCCTCCCGAACATTGCCAAAACCCAAACTAGTCCAGGCAAGGGGCAGTCTCTTTTCAATGTGAAGCAGATTTATTGAGGAAGTTGCATAGACAAATCCAGGAATCCAGAGCTTGAGAATCAATTCTGACAGCTGAATTAGAATAACACGCAGTAAAAGGTTTTAAACAGCACATCTAATGAGTGATTATAGAGAGAAAATGAATGTCGAGGAACGGAGAATGCAAAAGGTGGATTCTAGAATTCCTAAGGAATTAATTTTGAAGAAGCCAGGACCCCAGGTCCTTGAAAACTCCTGGTTAAAATTGAAGGAAATCTTGTAAGGGAGTACCATAGAAAAACCAAGCACACGAAGAGAACATTCCCGTTCAAGTTTGTAGCACATGTAAGTAATCAATTTACATGCAGAATGCCAGAAGCTCAGGATCTGAGAATGGCCCCTCACCGTGTGACAAGTCCATATCAAGAGAATTACGCCCCGAAAGAGAAAACTCCATTCAAATTTGAAGCAGATCTAGTAGGAGGCTATACGTAGAAGATCAAGAATGCTGGACCTCAGAATTACCCTTGAAATCTGAACTGCGTGCGGCACGGATATGCATAGAACATCAGGAAGAACCCAGGATCTCAGAACTGCCATTTAAATCTGAGGCATCTGTAGGAAGGGGTCTGCTTCAAGAAAATCAAGCCCCAGAAAGTAGAATTCCCATTTAAGATTCAGCACATATTGCAAAAGGCAAAGGATGCATACAAAGAAAACCCGGAACCCAGAACCTAAGAATTGCCCTGTAAATTCTAAAGCAATTTAGCAAGCAGTGTATATACAGAACACCAAGGCTTAGGAAAGGCACATCAGGGTACAGGGCTCCAGAATTCCCACTCAGATTCGAAGCTTGTTTGGTAAGGCGTTTAGGATCTAGGGTGTTTATCTTGAGAAAGTCAGGAATCCATGAGAACTCTTGTTTCTTTTATTTTCGAGGCAATAGAAAGGGATTTGCATAAAGAAAATGAAGAACCCAGGATCTGGAAATTACAGTCGACATGTCTTTAGTAGGAGGTATATCTAAACGGAATATCAACCAAGCCCTGGAAACGAGCAGCTAAGACAAAACAAAACTATGAGCTAGATCTGCATCTGTTGTGGGAAGTCCATGAGAATAGCATGTCTGCTGCCAGCCGCCATGGAAAGGTTACATTGGGAGGCTGCAGCTGTTGGCCACTGATTCAAGCATGTAATCTATAGCTTTACGTCGATGGCAGTTTTCTATGAAGCCTCTTTATTTCACGTATCATCGGAACTCGCATAGAAATAGATTGAACATCATATGTAGGTCAACGTTTTCGCGCAAGTGCGGGTTCAGTGCGGGGGTAGCATGTACTTCCACACGCACATATAGATATACATTTTCAAATATTTTCTGAAAAGAAAACATGCTAGGCCCCCCACCCCAAGCTCCACCCTCTGGCGCCAAACCAGTCATTAGCAATTTTCTCCTTGTGAACCCCGTACTAAATAAATAAACTGGCTTTGATTTGTTGACGGAATTCTCTATTCCTGGGTTCCAGCTTTTATCCATTTATTACATTAAACTAGCCTCAATTTATCAGGGCTTTTGTTTTTCTACATATGAATCCCTTATTACACTGGCTTCAATTTATCAAAGGAATTGTGTAATCCTGGGCTCGCGAAATTTGCTGTTTTATCGTCGAATGAATTTGCTTGGATTTATTCAAGGAGTTCTTTAGTCCCGGGCCCTGACTTTGTTCATATAAGTATTGTGATAAACGTGCTTCACTTCGTGGACTCCAATGTTTCTCTGTACAATTTCCGAACTAGAGGTCATTCTGAAGTTTCCCAGAGGCAACAAAGGTAAAATGAACTCGCAGGTTTTGGAAGCGGATGGGCCATGATAGACATACCCAAAACCAAGGAACCAACAAGTTCATCAGAGTGGCCGGTTTGGGAGACCAAAATATGTTGTTCGAATGAATTGTTGGTTTCGCCTGATCAAAAGCATTATTTTCCCAAGCAAAACGATGATATATTGTTGCTCTGGAGAATCCAAGGTGTTCCTAGGGAATGCCTGGTTTTCATTGCTTGCTGATTCTCGGCTGCGCCTGGGGCCGGCTTCTCCTGGAAAAGATGGTTCGGACCAAGCGTAACCAACTTTTTCCCTGGAAAAACCATGGAGACCAGCTTCTCTCTCCCAAACCATGTACACTCCTGATTTGTTTGTGTTTTGTGTTTTGTTGTTGGTCTTGGGTCTACTTCTCATTTGTGCCGGCACAGACTAAATAGGTACTTTGATGAAATTAGCTGGTTGTTCTTTAGTGCGTCATCCATTTGGAAAGCAGTGCTGAAACCTGCCAGCCCTCTATCCTTAAACATCAAGACCTGAGGGAAGGCAGATCCAAACCTATGGAAACGGTACCTCAGTAGTGAGGGTTTTCCAAAACTAAAAACAATAGAAGGTGGATCAGGGGGGGAGGGGCCACATTAAATGTGTATATATATATACATATATATATATACGTATGAAGTGATATGATAATCTGAAGAATCGGGACCCCCAAGTGTTGGACGCCTAAGCCCTCCATATCCCTTCCTTATACAAAGCCTGCAAGCCCTCTACAGGGACCTTGGACTTTGTTAAGCCTAAAATCTAGAACCACGGGGCTGTGCTCCTCACCCTGACCTGTGGTTAGCAGCTATTAAAACAATGGAAAAGAACATGGAAACAACTAAACTGTTGGGCATGATACGGCCCAATAGGAGCTTCCATGTCACTTTCCATGTTCGTTGCCATCGGGCTCTCCACTATTACAGTAGTATGATTGGGGGTTACATAGGGAGTCATTCCAAAACCTTAAGACGTCTACTAGACGGATCCATTCCAATATTCCCTGCTAGCCGATGTCCAAAATCCTAACCGTGAACCCCTAAGATTGTCCCTTCCCTGTTCTTTGGGTCCTAGCTAGGGGCCCATAATTCCCATACTTGGTTTTACAAGTATGTAAGAGGAGTCAGGACCCAAGGACTCACGGCCCATAGTTCCAATCTTAGAAATTGAGTCGCATGGAGTTGCTTCCATCGCCAACATGGAGTGAACTTCCAAACGATAGCTGATGTCTCTCCGTGCTTTGCCTTGGAGTGTCTTCAGCCCGACTAACGGGGATGATCTTATATAGGGGGGTACATGGGGAGGACCGTGACTTTAGAAACCAATGTGTTTGCAATTGTGGTCCCTCTTACCGGAGGGATTCTTACAGGATGTTGAAGTAGTTTAAGGGTTGAAGGACTTAGGGGTTGAAGGGCTTGGCTGGGCCTTTGACCTCATTTCCACCGACTGGTCTTCACCACGGAGTTTAAATTCATACTGCTGAGTATGCAGGGAGACCTTTCATCTTACTAAGCTACCACAGATTCAGGGAATCCATGCTCCCAACAGTATACAGCACCCCTAACATTAACGCAGTTGCCGGCGGATGTGCATGTAGTCCGAGAAGCTAACCTGGGTTGCTGGTCAAGCACTTGGTAACATATCATAATACGGGAATACAGTAAAGAGTGGGGTTTCCTTATCTCAGCAACTTAACCAAATTCCTTGACAACCCAGGAACAGACGCAGTGTTCGACAAGATGCCGCTCGTGCGTGACTGGATCCTGTCTCTGCCAAGGCGAAGTCGATCAGCTGCAAAGGTTAGCCTTAGGCGTCCACCTAGAGTTTCTCATTACGACTACAGTCATGTTATTGCTTTTTGTTTGTTGTTGCTGCTGGTGTTGTTGCTGTTGTTCGTCTTCTTGTTGTTGATGCTATTGTTATTTTAGTCAGGTGATTCTAGAGCCTTTCTCCATGTGGTATAGTCTACAAAAAGGGTCGGCGCTTCGTTACTGGACAGGCAGGTAACTTTCCAGGCATCTCCCGTGGGCCCAAGCAGAAGTCTACGCTTGCAGGATCGCATTCCTCATCCTCGGGGAAGCTATCGGAATTGCTGGTGGACCCACCGCCTTCCTCCGGAGCAATGTTCGAGTTGCCACCCCTCGCTCTATAACTGTACGGTGTAGGCGTGGCCGTTCCCGCGGTGCGTGTATTCTGCACAAATCGCGGCCATGGTACTTCTTCTGCGGGCGGTATGCTGCGCCTTACGAGTCCCGCAGACGACGCACTTGAAATTCCTGAGCCGCAAGGAAACATGTGGAGGCCTGTGATGTACACTGGCCGGTCCCTACACTGCGAGCCACACAGCCGCGGGAATATGCCCGAGTGGTTTACCTAATATCAAAATTCAAAGACTTGCCAATAGCTGGTAGCTCTATCCTCGAAAAGCAACAAGCAAATTAGAGTATCAGTAGTTCTGGTTGCCACAAAACTGCTAGGAGCCGCCCTGCCGCTCACCTTTCAAGGCCTGAAGCACCGGCGAATTTGTTTGGGGTCTAAACAATGAGGTTTGTGTGGGCTATGTGGAGATGTTAGAGATTTTGTGAGTGTATTGTATCAAGTGTTTCCATCAAGCGCGGCTTCCGCAGGTTTAGAATTCGGGGCGGTGCTAAACTAAGGATGTGGAATATGCTCCGACACAGGCCAGACACCGAGAATCGTAATAGTAAAAAATGGCTCGCGTCGGGCGATAGTGGCGGCGAGTACCAAAGTGATCACCGCTGCTAGCAAAGCATGGACACTTTCGCCAGCGCAAGTCAACACTTACCACAGTTAATGCCTTGACATGTAGCCAAAGCTTGCCAAATTATATTGAGTCCAAAAAAAAGACGAATATGTTGGCAGGATGATTAATCCAGGGTTGCTGATACAAAAGGCTGGGCATGCAATCTAAGCACACGTAGCGCAGCAAAGAAGTGCAGAGCAATAATCCGTAGTCCAATTCTACACCCTAAGACCCCAAACCCTCATACCTCGCCCAGAAGTCCTGACACCCCAAAATCAAAATCCTCGCATCAACCAGCTGCGTGCGCTAACCTCCGTCATGCCCCAGTCATACGCTGCGCGCTGCAGCTCCAAAAGCGCAGTGAGTGCGGCCTGCACTTCCGGAATATCATGAAGCAGGGTTCAGGAACTGTTCCAGGAATTTACGATCTGGGTGAAGAAAGAGGAACCACTCGGAAAGCGAAATGGAAATTGTTCTACTCTTGTTTTGGGGTTGAGGGTTTTGAATGTAGGGCATACAGTAGGTAGGGTTCAAAGACTTCATGATGCAGGACTTCGGATATAGACTTCAGGGCTGCAAGTTCATTTTTTGTTTACAACCTTTTTCCCCTCCCACGTGGTATTCCCCCTCCACCCCCCATGCTTTAAAGGCGTCAACAATCACAGGGACGGGGCCTTTCGAGGTCGCCTTTGTCGTAGCCTTCTTTTTGGGATGCCTCGAAGCCAACTCTCATCGCTGTTGAATCCTCATATTGTTGTCGCATTTTTCTAATAGTCACAGGGATCAGCATGGTCCTCATCTTATTTTATAGACTTTGTATACAATCATAACTCTTTGCATACCTTCTTGAAACCCTGCATGAACTGTTATACACCCTCTGTAATAAACGGTGAACAACCCTCGATAAAATCTCCACAAAACTAATGTAAGCCACAAGACGCAGACCACAGGCCAAAAGACCATAGGGGGGGTTGGGTAACAGCTTATGAGCCCTCTGTAAACGCTGAAGCCACAAGACCTAGACCACTGGCCACAGGACCACAAGGGGCGGATGGGGGTAATAGTCTAATCCTAACTTAGCGCCCAGAGCATAGCCACCACACAAGAGGACGCGCCGTGCGTTCCCAAGTAACCCGCCCATGGTATCCCCCCCACTCGGTATGCCTCTCAAGTGCCAACAATCACACGGATGGGGCCCTTGGGGGTGGCCATCGTCCTAACTGTCGCTCTTCTTGGCGCTTGAACAGCCTCCAACCGTTGTTTCTTTTGGCCCTTCATGCTTTAGTCGTGCTTCAAAAGCCCTCATTGCCGGAGGGATCGGGGTGGTCCTCATCGCGATCCTCGCAGCTGTTGTCGCCTGTTAAAACCTCTTATTGTCGTCACATTGTACAAGTACTCTGTGATCGGGGTGGTCCTTATTTTATATAAGCTTGCTATAAGCCATGATGAATCCACAGCCAGTTGATCATATTGGCTGCTTGAGCCATGTAGGGGCACAACCTCACAACTCGCGACACCACACCATAACCGCACAACAAATCTAGACCCACGAAAGCCTCACAACAACCTCACATCACGCCATCAATCTCACATCCCATCCGATACTTCACGACAACTGTACAACAACCTCACCAAATCATCCCATCCACATCGCCCCATCAATCAAACCTCGTAAATGCAAACATCAAGCCATCCTATTAGACAGCCACCTCCATGCAAAAAAAAACCTTCGCAAAGCTTTCGGGAAAACAGTACCTTGTTCAAGCTGTGTGGAGGCGGGTTTGCCAAGCTACGGAATGGCACAGGCAACACGAGTCAAGCTTCAGTACATTATCGTGTGAAATCCTTGGAGTATGTGTCGCACATTGCACATCCGGCGAGGACTCAACGTCACGTCTTCTCGAAACAGAACGTCACAGAAAAGATGCGCATCGTTTTGATTTTGGGGTACTGAATGCCCAATTTGTTGAGAGATGGGTTGCACACCCAAAGACTACACACACTTTGCATTTCCATCGTCAGAAGCTGTAGGAAGTTCAATACCCTGGCGCCTCGACGGGCGGATGCTCGAGGCCACCTTGCAAGACCCCAAGCCTGTGTACTGCTCCGTCAACAGGTATATCTACATCTATATATACATATATATCTCTCTCTCTCTCTCTCCCTCTCTCTCCCTCTCTCTTCTTCTTTTTCTTCTTCTTCTTTCTCTCTCTCTCTCTCTCTACATAACTGCCACCATTACTAATACCATAATATTACTACAGTTGCACTACCAGGGGGGGTGTCTTTTTTTCAGCTTTGTCAAACTAGTCCTGAAGCACCTCGAAAGTCACCTGTCACGTGGCAGGACAAGGAACGTCAAACTCATCTTCGTCGCGTGGCCCGAATGTCGCATTAGTTATGGACCTCATCATTACCCAAAACCCTAGAGATGATTCGTCACTTTATCGGGACCACAATGGGCTGACTGTAATCCTCCACACTGTTCTTGAACGCTCTCCGCACGCAGTAGCTAGTACTTCCTGCAACTACTCTGGCTTCCATCGTCAATCGCCAAACAGCCAAACTCTGTATTTTGAGGCTTGTAAGAAAAGGTGAGGTTGGTTTTCGCTCGGAATATCCCAAAACCCTGAGCAGCCAACCGGAAAAACGTGTAAACCCTACACTGAAAACCCTTCAGTGTGCTCTCCTGCTACTGCCAAGCAGCTCGGTCTGGGTTCCAACGTCACGTCGCTAAAGTTGAGCGGGCCCTGGCGCTTGACTTTCTGGTGCTTACTTGGAATTCAAGGTGTAGGAACTCAAGAGGAGGTTGAAACCATCATTTTTTCTTAGTGTTTCAAGGGTTCATGGTTTAGGCCTAAAAAAGACATGAAACAACCGTCTTATTCAGGGTTTGAAGGGGGAATTCGGGTTTAGGAATGGAAAAACAATGGACACCCCTTTACTGCTTCTGGTTTTGGAATGGAAAAGACACTGGAATCCTCTTGTGTGATGACGTAATAGAAAGGAACATGCGAATCTCTTTGAACAAGATTGAATCTACTGCATTATCTAGAGCTTAGGAATGGAACAGAATTACAAGACGCGGTCTTTTTCATGGATCATGATTGGGTTACGGGTTTGGGGCTTGCTGGTGCCTCAGGGGAATTGGGGGAAACATGGGTGCTGTCATCAGTATGAGAATTCGGTATGGGCGAGAGGGCCGCCATATTCCTGAGAGGGCTTGGCAGACCTATTCTGATTTAGGCTGTTAGGATTCAGAGCTTAGTTGGGAACGGGGAATCCATCCCTACAGTTGTCCTTAATTCTAAACCCAAGCCCACCATCTTGAGGGGCACAACCCTAGACCCCACAGCCATTGCTCCTTCAAATATCCGGTGGCTCCCCAATACCCGCCTTCGGCCTGAGGAGCCCGTCAACCTCCACCTTACCATGCACGCAAATGTTCTCAAGCCTCTCCAAAAAATACAAAGAAGATGAATGACCTTTGGTTCGAACTTCAGACCCCTAGCCTAAATGCAAGCCCCGAAGGACCCATGAAGGCCGAAACCCTCACACTCCAACCGGACGTCCTCCTACTCGGAAATCCACGGAAATTATAACCACCGACTCCTCTTGTGAGCCGCACCATGTATCGTTACCCTCGGTCTGATTGCATTCCAATTCCAGCTGCTACAATGTTGGCTAGCGTATGGAGCTTAGGCGATGTGGGGATTTGCCACCCCTGGACCAGCCAGCAAATGTGAAGCCTCGCCAGGCTTCGCCAAGTCGGCTGGCAAAAGTGGTCTCGCCAGCCTGAGCTTGCTGACACAAAAATGGTGTCGTCTCCGTCAATACCTAGCAAAGAGTCTTTGGGTGCTACCCATTCTCAGAAAAAGGCCCCAGTTTCTCATTACTTACTTTGGGGACTTCTCAGGATTAAGGGTCGATAATTACAGCCCGGCTTTAGGAGGAAGGTCAAGCACTTCATATTAGCCCTTCAGGTTTGTAGGCGCATGGAAGTAAGATGAAATAACATGTGGGCCTCTCTGGTGCATGATGTGGGGGGAGACTGAGAAACTCGCACACTTGGAGGTTCAGGGAAAACGAATCTCACGTGGTTAGTGCAGTTCTAACCCAATCATAACTGCATCGTCGGGTCTCAGATTGCAGGGTAGCAAGTGAAGGGTTTCTGGAACGTCCTCGCAAGCAGGATGTGCGGGTGGCAGCGTCGGGTTTATTGTTGGGTTCGTCAACGCAAGGTTCTCCGGCGCTAGACTCTAAGGCAGGACTCAACATTGTTCAGACCTTCCTATTTGTGACGATAGGCGTGTAGAGGCTCGGCGGAACCTCCAGAAAACGGCGGTCAAGACAGCGGCGAGAAAAAAACATGCTCATAATGAACGAAGTGAGCATACAGAAAGTGATGCTGACAGCACCTAGAATGACAACGAACGAGCTTTCCTCCTGCGAAGAAAAATGGAGCTGTTGATAATGAGCGTGGGAAGCAGCATTGATGAAGCCAATAAGAGTAGGCAGATTATCAGCAACACTGAAGATGACTTACCCATTTATGCCTAGTTGGGAATGGAGGAATGGACCCGAAAAGTAATCCACGCATGCTATGAGAATTTCCTCTGACCAAGCCCATTACCGTAACTCCTGAAATCACATCCCAGATCCAGAAAAGTGCAGCAGTTCTATCTCCTTGGCCATTCCCCCCCATTCTCAGCTAAGCATGATCCTACAGGTTAGCCAATCAGCAGCTGAGATAAATCCTAAAGCTCCCCCAAACCCCACACCAGCACATCCTCAACCCTAAGCCTCTAACCCCTAAATAATATGGTAGTTTCCATTTTCTCTTCCATGATTGAGCAATCTACTTGCTGAAAACCCTCTTGCCACTGTGATGCAAGGTCGGCTTGTCTGGGCAGGTTTGGAAGGCCAGAGGGATGGGAAGAGCCCGGCGGAGCCTGAAGAGGATGTGGCAGGGAGGGGTTTAGGATCCAAGAGCTTAGGGTTCCCAGAGGAACGAGCACCCTGGAGGAAAACAAGACACCACAGTTTGATTTGAGGTAAATTCTTCAATCAAAAAGGTTACTGCCCCCCCGGATTGAGGTTGAAGATCATTAGTGCTGTTCTTACTCTTGTAGGGATTTAAGAATTAGGGTGTAGGCATTAGCGTTCTGGGTATTAGGTTGCGGGAGAGTCAGGGTCTTCGTTTGAAGGCGTGGAGGCTGTTTCTGATTTGCAGTCCCCAGTAAACACGACCTTCAGCTCAAAATGCAACCCTACGAGACATGACCTCTTCGCTCTGACTCGGATATTAGGCAGGCGGAGAAATTATGTAACATCGTGTGGGCAGGTCAATGGGTGCAGCATAGTGTGAACTGGGAAATGATCCTTGCTAGCTAGGTCATGTAGGGTAGATACCTGAACAAGGTGTAACGCGTTAGGGCATTCCCCCTCAAGGCAACAGCTACCGCAAGAGATAATTGGAGTTATAACAGCCTCTTAATAAAGTCCCCTTTATGGACAGTCACTGGGAGAGGGGACGACCCATTACTTTGCCTCCGGAAAATCCTGAGCCCTAAGCCCTAGACCCTGAACCAACCGTTCAGCGGAAGCTGCCTTGCCGAGTGTGGCATGAGCTCAACATCGTTGTCCTGGCCGCACCCAGTTTTGGCGGAACATTTGCGAGTTGATGGCTTAGCTTCAGCGTATTCGGGTTTAGGTTCGTAGGAATCCAAAAGGGTGCACGTAGTAGTTTTTGGAAGGGAGGGATGTCTTTGTCACGAGCTAAGCGAACGTGACGAATGAAACCTTGTGAGTTACTCCGCCCAAAAACTTACATGGATTTTGTCTGCATTTGAGAGGGTCAATCTGGGATGGGGTAGAAACTTGAGAGACCTTGTCCTGATCTCCCGCAGCTTCTTCTTGGCTTTCCGCGCATCGTGTTGTTTGGGGTCTCTACGTACAAACAGCTGCTGAGGCCTTTCATGATAATCCGCCTCCAGCTTCCCAAAACCATTCATCAAACAGTTGCACTCAGCGACTTCGCCTGCTCCACCTTTGCCGGGGACGTGCTGCCGTCCTTGCAATGGAACTTAATACTTGGAAGGTGCCCAGGGAGCTTCATACCTCTTAATTGAAGAAGATACCCTAACACGTATGTGAAATCTTAACAAGCTTTTAGGGTATGCTTCCTATCACCCCTTAGACGAAGGTCATAGGTATTGCGGCCTCTTACTATTCCAGAGTTCTTAATTAATCGCTCAGCCTGGAGGCAAGCCAACTATCGCAAGCTCCCCTGTACCCCCTCGAATAATCTTCAACCGCCAAACACTAATCCTCTGCAGGGGGTCTGAGGACCGTATTTTGGGTCAAGGACGTAGGCAAGGCATGCAATCTTCATACCGGACTGCGGAAATTAGATTTCGTTCAAGATCTACCCAAAAGTCTAGAATAAGCACTTCTACCAGGTCTCCCGACCCAACTTTACATATGTGGAGCTTGCCCGAAAGCTGCTCACTGAAACAGGCATCAGCAAAGGCACGAATTGCTGATGTTTTTGGGTGTAGGGTTTGAGAATATGGATTTGTGGTTTACAGCTTGGGATGTTAGCTCTGTGCAATTCTCAAAAACAGCAAACACCTCCTGGGAGCATTGTGGAGAGCAGGTTCCGCGAGGGTACCGATCCGGCGTTACGCTCAGAATATCAAGAGTTCTGCCATCTCTCAAACAACTTTCGGATCCTCAATGGGGAGTGAGGAGGAGTGAATCTCTAAAGTAATCCCTGTGTAACCCCATGCAAAAGTGCCAGTGTTCACAGGCACCAGAATTGCCAAGATCCTGGAAAGACTCCGGCTGCAGGTCGCTGACGTTGATTCGTGCACCTGCGATGCATGTTTGGGCCTGAGGAATGCCAATTTACCTATATATCTCAAAACAGTAGTATCTTGAATGATCTTTTTGGGAGGCAGGATATCACCAGATATTACCTCCTTATCAGTTCTGAGCCATCACGCAATGAGACCCTTGTAAGGTCTTATAGAGGCTAGCTTAGGGCTTAAACCCATCACTTTACCCCATTGACGCCCACAAGACTTGACAAGGTATATCTTGGACGTAGACGACGATTTCAATTGCAGTTTGTGTTGACTCCTGGTGGGTACCGCGGATAGCCCAAAGTGTCTCACCCTTCTTTGTGATTTTGGTTTACTCAGCTGGCCGAAGCTGAGTAAATTCTGCTAAGCAAGCAGCTCGCACTAAGCTACTGTTTTGACCACCATTTAGGGTGAGGACGGGTGAGGTCGTTGTAATTTGCCCAGCCGAAGTAGGCAGAATAAGTCCCCAATCTGACACAAGGCCCTTGGGAGAAATTACTCACACGGTCAGGTGCTGTCAGCATGGCTTGCCCAAGAGGAGTTAATCTAGAGGCCTGAACAAGTACCAATATGATGCCGAGATCTGTTCGAGTACCCTGTACCAAGGAATACAAGACCAACATTTTGGAACGGTTGAGGGCTCCACATGACTTAGAACGACCCTGGAGCCCATCCTGAAGGAATGTGGTGGAGATGAAGCTAAACACTGATCTCTCAACCGTGCAAATCAGCAGATCCACCTGAAAAAACGTTCTTTCCACTACATCCTCCCAGCACGTATCGTCACCGGGTCTTATCAATAATGCACCTGGCTTGCTGAATTCCGGTCCATGGTCAGATCCTTGTAGCCGTATGGCCCAAGGCTTATTCATGTCATTGCAGATGCCGCAAAAAGCCGCAAATCTCACAACCATCCATGGGTCCAATACTCTCAAGAGTCACAGTGCCAGCTAGTATGACTGGTCCCATGTTGGAGGGGATCTTAGCCCCAAGTCTGCTTCCGTGAGCCCTAATCTTCAAGTTCCTGGAACCCTGATGAAAAATTGGCTTCCCTAACAAACCAAAGCTCGCCTGGCAAAGGCGATTCGCCGCTAGCAGATCCCTGCACGGCTCCAGGGTCTTGAGCTAGGATTGGGTTCGCTTTGAGGTGTAAGGCTTGGGGGTATACCCTGCCCCAAACTAACACGGAACGCCGTTTAAAGGGTAGATTATGGAATATGTAGCTTTGCGGTTGAGGATATGTGCTCCCTCAAAAGAGCATAAGGACCCCGCTTAAGGGGCCTTTAGAAGGACTATCTAGGGGTACATAGGATATGTTTCTTATGTAGACGGCTATATATTCTTGAGGATACATACCTCGCAAATGAGCATGGAACCCCAGCAAGTCAAACTTCGCCTACAAGAGTCCCCTCTACCGATCCCATGCTTGCATCGTGAGGTTTAAGTCGAAAGGGCCTTCAGGTGTCGCCGGGTTCCAAATTCTTTGCCACGATCGTCCCCTTCCTGCTCAATTGTGCCGGTTGTTGGAAAGGACTGGCAGCCTTCACAACCCGAACGTATACTCTCCCTGAACAACCCTTGCAAAATGCTCTTGGGTTTCATATCCCCGTAAAAATGGATGTGCCATACATTCCCCAGACCATCTACAGTCGTTGTGTAGCAGGAGAGCGCTTGCTCGCACGTGACGCCTCCGAATCCTCAGCCCACAATGCAAAACTGCAGCCAAAAAAACCTTCAGCCCTCGAATCCCACAAGCCATTGCCAGTACCAGCCGCAGTAAGTGTCACAGTAATAATGATACTATAACGGACATGTTGCTAGTCATTTTAATAGCCGTAGCAACAGCAAGTATTGAAACCCCACCAAGCCTTGCAAGAGCTCTGTGAGGATACGGCAGACCCAGTGGCATCTGTATCGGCCTCCTCGAAAGCCAGGATGCTACCCCAAAGGGGTCCCCAGAAAGGTAGGACAAGTCTCAGGTGAAACCCAAATGATACTATATGACCTGTACCTTATAGCCCTTTATGCTTGACTTCGTTTCGGTTGATTTTGGCAATTTTGGGCAATAGATCTACCTCGGTCCCTGGATTCCAGCAACCCATGCACTTGGCAAAGCTCTGCAATGAACTCGAATCTTAGCTTCGAAGAGCTGAAAGAGAAACACATCTATTGCGACATGTAGGGGCCTCTCTCATCAGAACAGGGCTTTGGAGGGCACGCCATATCATAGACATGCGTATATATACATATACATATAAGGATTGCAGGGGCAAAATCTTGATGATTATTTGGGCTTGTTCATTGAAGGCTCCATGCCGAACTGGTTGACCATGATGGTAGGGCCTTTTGTTTTCGTGGTCTGTTTGGAGTTGCTGTTTTGCCTTGCGGTGCCACAGTTATCCCCCACCAAGGTCAAGAGCCCAAAGCCCAAACCCTAACCCCTAAGCCCTACATGGAGGGGTACATAACTAACCTAGGGATGGTCGTCTTGTGTGTTCCGTGGAGCCTGTAAGCAGTTCCGGAACGTCATAGCACAACATATAACTGATCCGTAACCTGAACCTAATTAGCCTTAACCTCCTTGTAAAATCCCAGGTTCCATTTCCTTTTCCATTTCTTTGAACTTGACTCTCCTTCAAAAGGATACGCAGAGAAGGATCCTGGAAAAGGGATGCCCCATGAGGCATTGATAGTGACATAATGCTCAGGTCCCTATCTCTTCCTTTCTTTACCATTACTCCGGGGTAGGGGCCTATCTCCAAATGCCCTGAGGAACCCTTCGCCTTCACCAAGCAGACTACCCCGGTGCCTGGTTTGTCCAGCTCACTGTGTTGCCTCTAGTTATGGGACTTGCCAAAACCAATGTTTTTAAGAGGTGTGGCGATGCAAGGCTTGAAATGAGGGGTCCCTTTTTCGGGAGGACCACTACACAAAAGTAAAATACGGTATTTGGTGTTTGGCTGTACAAGGGCGAACCTTTGTTGGAAACACCCAAATGCTACAACCTAAGTGCAAGATCAGTTTACTCCAGCAACCTAAAACCCTGACTCCAAAACCTCTTGACCACTATAGGAGATTATCGAGGAAACTGAGGAATCAGAAAGAGATATCCATGCATCCCCAAAATCATGGGAATGGTCCTCTGCGGTAGCCCATGACAATTTCCTTAATGAGTGACACCCTAAGTACTCCTCAAAGAGAATCCAACTAACGTCCCCCTTAAGTAGATAGAACATGGGGTATATGGGGATCCTATTATAATATAGCCGAAGCCATAGTCTATCTATTCAAGGGGGATCATAATTCTCTTATACCCCCCCATACATCCCTTGGGTCTCCAAGGTGGCCAAAGCTTGATCCCTGAAGCCCAAACATGATTTCTGTAGATGAGCCTGCTCCTGACAAGTAGCCGCCTGCAATAGCTCCCGTGCTACCTTTTGTCAAGATCATGCTAAGCCCTGGGGAGTGGAGGATGCTTTTGGGAGGGGGATTCCTTTGGCTCGATAAAGTCTAGCTTTCAGGTGGGGGGCTCATTTCAAAAAGAGGTGGGGTGAGCTCTCAAGTGTCCAAGCTTTGGGTGCGAACTGTTAAGGCTATGTATCAGGATAGCTCCAGGCTGTAATTGGCTGTACCTGTTTTTGCAAATAAAGCAAAGTCTGACTACATTGTAACGAGTGCAAGACTTGAAGCAGGTCAGTCTGAGCCCATTTCTTTTTTCCCACCATTTAGTGCGAGGTCACCTGAGGTCGCTGTAGCTGGCACCGCTTAAGGTCTGAATGGGAAGTTCAAGGCCTGTCGAGTAGCACTCTCTATGCGACAATTGCGGCCCACTCGAGGTGTGCGCAGCATGCATGCATTCTGTTGTCGATTCAAGAAATGGTAGCACGTTCTACATCTTTAAATGCGTGCACAACTCTGAGCGCAAGGAAGGCCCCCAGCTCCCTGCGATTAGAATACTGCCCATTATCAAAAGACACCCTCAGGTGGGTAGTTACCAGGTCGGGAACCCCTTTACAAGGTGTATTTAAATGTAAGGTTTTCATAGTGATGGGGCTATATGAAGCCTATATAGGCCTCCTTTCACACCCACCTGATAACTACCCACCTGAAGCTGTCGCTAACATTATGATTTTACCGTGCAGTCTTGGAAAGTATTTGGTACTGACAAGGGGTGAGCCAGCTTCAAAACAGATTCAGTGGAGTATGTATGGAAACGTGTTGGGAGGTCCAAAAAAGTCCACCCCATCTATACCCGAAAACAACTATCCATAGTCTAAACTCCTAGTATCCTCCTTCATAACCCCTTGCAACCCAGACCCCATGTCTTGGTGAAATATCGCCCCATCAGTACATGCCTGCCGCTCACGAACACAGTCTCACCTCTGGGTCTTGAACAACCAGGGAGCATTTTCACCCTTGGATGGAATGTGTTAAGCTTATCCCCGGGATTCTACTGCAACAAACTCTTAGGTCTTAGATTCCCAAGATGACAAAGACCTAAGTTTGGTGCTTGCTTTGCACGGAGCCCCCCCTTTCCGAAACCGCAGGCATGCTTTGTCACTGGGTTATCGATTTGATTCTTCAATCCTAAGCCCTGCGCATACCCAATACTATCACTGCTTATTCTACCTACGGTTCAGGTAAGCAAGCCCTAAACAACCCATGCCTCGCAGGAGCTCTGAGAAGATGAAGCAGTAACTGTCGCATCAGTCTCCACATCCTACTGCCAAGCTCGCGGCATTAGAGTCAAGGGTTTCAGGGTAGAGGTTCTAGGCCTTGGGGCTTCAGGGGTGCATGACTTAGGGCGCCATCTGACTCCCAAGCACGTCTTGAAACCTAAAAGCGGAGCGAATGCTTGGGAAGGCACTGCCGCATCAAATGTCTAGTCTAGAACAAGGCTCCAAGTATATCTACCCTTATTAGCTTAAGTAAAACTACAATAATCGACTGGATCGCTAGTATGCTGGACTTCCAAGTATACTGGGCATAGCGGTAGATTTAAAGAAACGACCCCCTACATACTGGATGTTCAGGGTAATTATAGTCCAAGTTTAACTGGTGCTTCTAACCGAGATATAAACACACGAAGGACCTGGGGGGCTTTCGTTGGGTTTCAAGTTCAATGATGTACAATTGGGTTATAACCCTATTAAACCTCCTGGTATCGCGATTACGCCGAGCTGGATTTTGCCATGGGCGGAGAAACTCGTCAGAAGTATATTTCAGAGCATGAGTCGCCCTGACATCCTCAAAAATAACGGGAGCTTCAGAAGAAGGTCACCCACAAAAATATGTCATTTAATTCTGAAACTCCCCATAGACATACACTGAAGAGGTGTGCGCTGAAGGACAGAACGTCTGTACGTCCTTCCTCTCAAAAAGTTTTCGAGCTTTCTTACAATTAGTGCCTCGATTACACAAAACATATAGACCTGCTATAGAGATCAAGCCCAGGCGTCCAAGTACCTGAGTCGCATCTAGCTTGGGCCCACAACATCTACGTAGGAGCCCACTTGGATGCAATGTACACACTACTCAAGCATGTAACATCCAGAAGACCCCAGCTAACTTTGTCTATTCTGGAGCCATCCGAAAAATCAATCTGAGCTGATGATATTATTTGGGGCTTAGACTATGCAAAATAGGGGGGCTTAGGGGGCTTCTATATAGGGGTATAGATTACATTACAAGAAGATTACATTCACCCATGAGCTTCCAGGTACTCGGACCCTGGGAGCCTTCTTCGTAATAGGTCGAGTGAACTTTTTTCACCAAATTGAAAACCAAAATGATCCCCGGCTATGGACAGTTAATAGAGCAGACCCGAGACCCCCCACCAAATAAGCTTGCCGAAATGTATTTTGAATCCTCTACATGTTGGGGGGGGAGGGCTTAGTAATCAGAACCCCCCAGTTAAGCCCTACGTAATGACATTCTCCATTTCATTCTCCTTTCTCTTGTCACTTCGGCTCTGCATTCCTAAGCCCTAGTTAAGTCTCTGCATGCCCGAAAAAAATCATGCCGCGAAAAAGCCCTTTGAAATCGCCTAAACCCCTTAACTTCTAAACCATTCTGCCCTTACTGTAGTAGAAGTTAGTAGGACCCCCCCCACCCTGTAATCATGGTATATTAAGACTATAAGCCCTTACCCCGGCCGGGCCATGAATGCAGGCTCCTGGTCTTGACAGAGGCCGATGTCTTCCAACTCCTGGACGACCTCGTGATACCGGCTTTGGAAGGGTTTGGGCTTTGGGTTTAGTGGATTTGGATTTAGGGTGTTTCGAATGTCCTGACAGTAAGTAGAATGAATGTTGATAGGGGATGTCGGGTTTTGGGTCTATGGTTTATAAAGGGAGTCAAGTTCGAGATTCAGGGTTTATTTGCCTACCTTCCCATCTCCGGCTTATCATGATACGTCCATTACCAAACGCTGAATCCTGAGCCCTGAACTCCTTACACCCTAAACTCTGCAACCAAAAACCTTCGCAACAGGCGTGCATGCATCGTTGCCTGGAAGTGCTCGTGATCGGCTCAGCTATACTCATGACAGCCCCCCCCCAACTTTTGAGCAACACCCTCACTAACTTTGTTAAAGAGTACAACCAACTTAAATGTAGCATAGGCATGTTGATGGATCGCACAAAGCTTTTCGTAGTATGCGGGAACATGATCAACCGTAGGTACACGTTCCGGAGACACCTAACTCATGAACACTTAGCCCAAACGCTCTGAACCCTAAGCCCGGAAACTCCGGGCCAAGTCTATGACCTTGTTGCCGAGTTCCTTGGCCAACAAAATCTTACCTCTTCATGTCAGTAGGATTAAGTATACCCCAATAAGCTGAAGACCTAAACCCTACATTTCAAAGCCTACTCCTACAGCACCAGCAGACCTTGGCGGCAGCAAGCCAGCATTGCTGTTGTCGCTCCGCCTGGCGACGTGCGTTGCGCCTTGCGGTCTGGCTCTTGGGTTGGGCGTGGGACCCTTTAAGCGTGCTCTAAACATTCTGCAGATGGGGGATATGGATATCTGGAAGGACAAGTTGGGGAGTCAGGCTTCCTGAGCCTTCCTGAACATGTTGGAGTAATGGATTCATGCTATGTTGTCAGAATCAATTGGGGGTTCTTTCCAATAAATCCTCAGTAAACTCAGTAGCGGCCGAGTTCCCTACTGGTACAGCGTTTACGGTGTAGGGTATATGGTGCGGAGTCCCCTGGTCCAGAAGAACCTGACCTTTCAGTATGTTAGCTTCACACATACTCTGTAGCCCAGCTGGAGCACAGGCATACACAAACCCAAACCGTAGCAAACACAATACATCCTTCAGTCAATCGCCATCTCTTCAAGAGGTTCAGCCAAAGCGGTGTACGGAGCCACAAGCCAGCAACTCAAAACTCAACTGGCCAGCGCATCTAGACAATCAACCAGTCCCCACATCTGTGTACACACTGGCAAAAACCTACTCATGTATGCAACACAACGCAACGGCAACAAGAAACAAAAAGCCCCGTCACCTCTTGCCTTGCTATCCACCTGCGTATGGCTCCCTGTAGGCACAGAAGGCCGCGAAGCAATTTGCGATACGCCCGTCGGCATGACCGTTGGCGGAATCCTTGCGCAGGGAAAAGCCGGGTGGAAAGGGGGATGTGCCACGATTACGGTACGGTCTTGGGCCCTTGAATCCTCGAACAAATCCTAGGGGTTTCCTGGGGCAAAGGGTGAAGGGGAGCGAGGCCACATATGGGATTCGCGTAGCTTGGGGTCTGAGGAACTCTTCCATCAGCGGTGATCATGTGGGAATTACCCAGGAAATGTTGGAGCCCAACAGGCACTTTGAGCACTGTCTTGAGGCATGATTGGCTATCCAGGGTTCTAACATGCATAATGATTCGGGGAAGTTGCCTCTTTTGCGTGAGAAATCAAAGAATGGATCCGTAAATTCAGGACCTACTTACCCGAGGCTAAGCCAGTAGACGGAATCTAAAATCACTCCCAACAAAAAAGAGGCAACATCGCACACGCAACGCCTTCAGCCTAAAGGACGAAGCCAAACCCCAATTTGAGAGTCATTATGTAGCCACTAAAGGCAATAAGTGAAGAATACGACTCAATGGAAGCCCAGACTCTGCTCTGCAAGAGAATGCTCGCACGAGCGAATCTAAGATACTGCAGGCACCTTGCAGAGTCACACGGTTGAGGGTCTAGGGTTCTTGGTTGTGGGTTTCTAGTATAGTCCATGCACAACTCCAAGGGCCTTTCTTTGGGAGATGCATGTTTAAAGCACCCAGAGCATGGTGTGACATCCGAGGTGCAGGTAGGGTCTATAGCTCAGGCTAGCAAACCGCAATGACTATGTGGTCGTGCAGTCTGATGAGGTTTTTCTTGTCTTCGGAAGTCGCGGCCTGCTTCTGCAAGATGAGCGTTTCTAGCGCGTACCGCATTCCTAAGTATGAACCCCACACCCCTACGATCGCGAAAATGGTATGGAACATCCAGCGTATATCATCCCGGTTTCCATTTCATATTCCATTGTCTCATCCATTTGACTCTCATTTGCTATGCTGTGGAGCGGGGCTTGGGTGGTTAAACCCTATAGTCCCCTTAAGAAGACAGAATTGGAATTGCCCGAGACCATAATAAGATCCCCATAGCCCCAGCGGGCTATAAAGCCAGACTGGTTTCTCGATGGAGGTAATTACTCGTCAAGCTGGAGCTTCCGCTCCCGTGACCGGACCGGTAGACCGGCACCAGCCGCTTACAACAGCAGCCTGCCCGTATTTCATGGGGCCGTAGAGTTTACAAATAGTGCTAGCTACTTTGGGCCCACATGTCCATAAACAGTACCAAGCTGGGGCTTCAGTCTACAGATAATACTTACGGTGAGCCTGAAAGCCTGTAAACGGTACCTTTTCTATTTTGCTTTTTCTTGTCCCTTCACACTATTTATGGAGCGCTACAACCCAAACGCCACAGCCCAAAGCCAAAACTCTGAGCCGTAAGCCCCAGCCCTCAGCTCCAGACCGATTGGAACCCTTGATGCTTGCCTGACTGGGGAGACGAGGAGCCGTTTTGCTGTGAAACTCTGCGCCGCTACCTGGCAAGTCCCAAGGCCCTTGCCCACTTGGCTTGCCTCCCGAGTATATAGTGCTTAGGATTCTCAGCTTTGCGCATTTCGCAAGCAATCTTTTCCAAGGCCTGGGCCCTGCACTCTGGATTTTTTTCACGTTTGGGGAGTTTGGACCTCAGCGCAGTGCCAAGGACTGGGGTTGTGATGAAAGAGCGGAGAATGGGCACTGTTACAAGACGGCATGTACATGTGTCTAGGAATGTCTACACAAGCATATACATATATACATATATATATATTTATTGCCACCCACCCACCGACCGACCGACCGACCGACCGACCTACACATGCATGCCCGCATGCATGCTTACACATTTACATACTGATGTATGTAAAGAACTGATGAATGTGTATGTCCATATCTGTATGTGTATGTCTATATTGTGTATATATATATATTGTATACTTATAGGTGCCATATGTCAGACTTCTAGGTGGACTTTTGCTAGGATCCAGTTCACTCCTCTGGAGCACTAAGACTACAGACTAAGGGTGTATCTTCTTGACCTGTCTGATCCCTGAAGCTCCTAGCCAGACTTGTAGCCAAGTTGCATATTGCAGTACGGACCTAAAATCCTGCATGACCTTGGTTTACTTGGGCATCGTAATTCCGAAAGGCTAGGGTCGTGCAGGATGTTGTGTATCCACTGTAGGCCCTAGACCCTAAACCAGAAGCCCCAAGCCCAAGGATCACACTAGGGACTCATAACTTATGACCTGCAGAGAAGTAACCCAGAATAAATCTATCTCACTCCGCCCTGGAGCCAGCTCTAAACCCTGAAAGCGAAGCCCTAAAGCTAAAGCCCTTTTGCATCTGGGCTCGCACAGAGCCAGAAAGGTAAAGCCCTAAAACCTGAACCCTAGAACCTAACTTTATACCATAATTATGGCCGCTACACCCTAACCATGAACATTTCCAGCATTCTACAATAAATGCCAAGGCAATGTCAAACCCCAGAGCCTAAACCCAAAGCCTACACCGAAAAGCCCCAAAGCCTAAACCGGAACCACATGCCCTAAACCTTGAAGCCGTGACCTCCAAAGTCCTTAGCTCTGAAGCCTCAACTCCGAATCCCAGACCCTAACCCTGAGCCCTAAACCCTGACCATGGCATGGGGCTCCCCGCGAATGTGTCAAGCTTTATGAAGCGATTCAAGGGTATGACCTGAAGTCTAAAATCCCAAAGTGCTGGCCTGCAGCTGGCGAACGGCCAGCCTTCGCTGCTCCCTGTCTCTCCGCGCGACGTGCACGCGGACGGCAGTTTGCAGCCGGAGCGCGGCGGAAGCGCGGCTGTGAAGCCAACACCTGGCGAGGACACAGGGGGTTAGCGGGTCCTTTTAAAGGGTCTACAGCACTCCTGTAAAGATAGACATTGGACATATCAGGTTTAGGGTTCCCAAACATGTAGGGGTCCCCTTTTAGGGCCCCACAACAAGCATGAGCGAGTCTGGGGCTGACGGAAAACCTGACGGAAAAACCTGACGGAAAAACCTGAAACCCTTGAATCTGAGATGTATTTGTCTCACGTAGAGGACTCCCTCATATACTCCCAACGTGCGTCGCTTATTTTCTACGCAATACCCAAAAGAAAACATGTGATCCTTTGCAGGATCACTGCACGGGTAAGAGCTTCAATCAGGCTGTTCGTGGGATTGTACAACAACAGCCTCCTAAAGAGTGGATCCCCTGAAGGGCCAAGACTGCTCACTAGCAGTCTCGGTTACGAAGTTGGGGGTGCTGCTCTCTGGATGCTCCCCCTCTACTGAACTTTCCTGGCCACACAGATGAAACTCTCAGTTGCAGCCGGGCTCTACAAACACCAAGAGGCTGAAGATTGCGTTATCTCTGAGAAGTGTTCCCCATACCGCTTGGCCTTAAAGGGCCCCCACAACGAGAATTACGGGGAAATCTGGCATACCCCGCCCCGCAACTTGTCGTAGGAGGGCATGATGAATGCTTCTTAGACACTCGGCTACTAAAGCTCGAAGCCTGCATGAGATAGTGACGCTCAAACCTCAACATTTTACGCAATTTCACCATCCTTTCCGGCCAAAACCTCAACTCACCCTTCCCTAGTGTCACACATTATTCCCCTGAATTTGCACTACAACTTCAACCCTAAATGTTATGCCCCAAATCCCGAGCCCTGAGCTCCAAGAAGTTCTGTCTGGATCCCCAAAACCTTTCGAGCTCCGAACCCCAAATCCTTAAAATCCTCATCCAATGTCTCATAGCATTAAGCCTAAACCCTCAAGTCTACCTGCTGCACACAACCCATAATGGGAAGGACACAAAAAGTCCACGTCCAGGTAAGCCCTAAACATCCAAAGCCCTCAGTACACTGCCTCCATGCTCGGAAGGACCACCACTGCAAACGTCGCTTTGCAGCCTTCTTCCGGCCCTGAAAGGCCCGCCAGTGCCTCTGGACCTGTGCGGTGTAAAGGTTCAAGGTCAAAGTTCAGGGCTGTCAGGGATAAGGTTTGGGGGGTTAGGGAAGACCTGGTTTAGAGCTTCTTTTTTAGGGGTTGCAACTTGGAATGCTTCAGGTTTGGGATTGGGGTTTGAAGCTTTCAGGAAACGCTGTGGCTTTAGGTTCTGGGGCTTCGGGGTTTTGGGGGTGGTGAAGAAGGTTCAGTGATTGAGTATTCCGGGTGATTCAAGGCAGTGGAATTTTCGATTGGTGGGGAACATGTAGTACCCGCTTGGCCCCAGCCCACTTTGGAATGCCGTAGACAGAAACCAAAGAACACACTATGACCACCCCTCGGCCAGCTAGCCTTAAACCCTAAACAAGCCTGTCCTTGAGCATGGCCCAGAGTCTCACATCTGGACGGCCCAAGCTACGCATGGTAGCTTTATTCAAGGCCTCTTCAAGTGGACGTCCAAAAAGCCATATTAGCGCTCACCAACATATCCGGGGAACGTAAAGAGCACTCTCACGAACCCGTGCAAAATCCAGCCTCATATCACGCTTGAGCAAGAATGATATCGCTTGAGCTTTTACACTGCCTCGAACTTCAGACTATGTATCTGACGCGCATTTTCCCGGCTTTGGACCACCAAGGTTTTCAATGCGAGCCCTACGGAACTCCACGCTGACTGTTGCATCACACACCAAGATTCCGCAGCACAATGACCAGACAATCCAACAGAAAAAACAACAGGACTACCCCGAAATCCTTAACCCTAGACCCCAGACGCTGCAATTGGATGGAGCCTGCAAAGAGGCTCTGTGTTCTGCCCTTGCGCAGAGATAGCCTTGCTTCAGCAGCGGTTCAGCCAACGGGTTTTCCGGAGCCAGATTGGGAGCACATGGAGCCACGCTTTTGTATGGATGATATATATATATATAGAGGTTTACGAGGGAACGGGTGGCTTCCATCCATCTTCCTTCAAGGCGGTTAAGTAGAAGGCTGATTATGCCATCTACCAGAACAGTTGGTACAGTCTCAAAAAACCCAGTGGGCACCACACACTGCAGCTTTGCTGCATGATCCTCAATGCCAAATGCAACAATCGAATCTAGGTAACGTTCCATGGAAAATGTGCTTTAGAGTGTGGCAGGACTACTGCCGAAATAATCCATGTTCCTCCGTTGGGTCTCGCTTGGATGATCTCGCTCCAAAACGGTGAAATGTAGGCGGGTTCTTCAAGGCTTCAGTTAGTTTGGGTTGCCTCTATTTAGTGTGTTCCAGGCTTAGGGCAAGACTCAAGTCCATGTTTTGGGTAGAGGTCATGCGCCTCCGTCTCAAGCTGAAGTCAGGGTGACTGAAAAACCCACAGGAGCTGAGGCAAAGGATTCACGTTGAGGTTAGGGTTTAGGTGAGTGGTTCGCTCAACGAGTGGCGGCGCCAGCGTGCTCTCGATAAAAGGAAGAGAAGTTTGGTGGCTGGCAGGAGCACCGTCCTCGCATAGCAACGGAGTTGTATGGAGGTTTCTCAAACCGCTTCTCCCTCTTTAGAAACCTCTTTGTTACAGTTCGCGTAATTTTAATCACATCTTGCCAAACCAAAGCTCAAAGTGCTATTGCCCCCGAGGTTTGGCCGGAGGTTTGGGGAGCCCAGGTAGTGGACAGGCTCAGAGTGGTTCAATTGGATGTGCTCAGACTTGGGGCACTGTCCTTGCCAAGCAAATTGAACCCTGCACAGACCCCGTTTTGGACAGTTGTAGTCAAAAGGATCCATTTTCATTGAATACCGCGCACGGGGAGGTTATATATTCCCTGCGGCGGTATAGCTTGCAACCTGAACCCTCACCGCCGCGACACCCCCAAGGCCTAGGAGCCTAAGCCCCGAAACCCTACACTCTTACCCTAAGCCCTGAGCACTCTCGCCACAACCTAGTTGCTGCGTTCCCTGGCCCCGAGCAGGTTGAACTTCCCATCATGGTCGGATTGCATATACTCCAATAAGGTGGAAGATTAGTTGCCCAAATACTGCGCTAAGGAACCTAACCTAAGCCCTGACCCTACATCCAAGCCCCAAAGACCGACTTGCCCCCACAAGTCCTCCGAAGGCGATGGAGGCGGCTCCGGTCGCGGCAGCCGCGGAGCCAAGCTTGAATCCTTCGGTTGAGGGTTTTGGCTTCATGATGTCTGGTATTACGGCTTGGTGACCAGTACCAACAGCATTTCGCTCTTTATTTGCATTGCTCACGACTATTTGATCTCTAGTCCAACCTATCTATTTTTACAACTGGTCGTAGTCGAAACGAATTGCTGTAGCATCTCCTACCGCTGGGCACTGCAGGCATTAACAGCACTAAATCACTTTCTAAACCCTACACCCGTCAACATTATGAATTGCTTAGTGCGGCTTCGGGGAAACTTCGGGAGCGGATCCTCACTTAGTCCCCTGTGTAATCCCCAGGAAATTGAGCCCGGTGCTTGAACACATCATTGAGTCTTCCATGACGGGTGTAAGGCAAAGGAAGGTCTAGGCACTCGGGCTCTTGGCCAGAAAGCTCAG